GAGACTCCAAAGACCTGTTTCCTAGAAAGCCTTCTTTAAACAAACTCAAACCAATGTAGCTGAGTTTTCCACCGAAAATTTGTGCAAGGGACTTCAGAGAAGAATTTGCTATAAGTCCTTCAGAGAAGAATTTGCTATAAGTCCTTCACTAACAGAAGTTGCAACAGAATCGTGCGTATCGTCAAAAAAAGCAAGGCTAAGGGATGTAAGCGATCTGTTCAATAAAATCTTTTTTAAAAGTTCTGCTTCAGTTTCCGTCCATGAACCAAAAATCTTGAGTACAACGGATGTCAGTGGCGTATCTACAGATATTCCCTTGTCAAGTATGGCGATATAATCCTTTCAAATCTCACAAGGCAGTTTGATAGCAACAACTTCATCTGAGGAAATGCAACCAGTTGTCTCGAGAGTAAAGGAATATGCAGTTGACGCCACTTTGAGTACTTTACATAGAAGAGTTATAGTCTTCTCTCTTATAACCCTCACAGAAAAGCAAAGTGTTTGTAGCCATGTGTTGGATGCCATGAAATAAGCTAGTAGGTCATCATCTAGATTGGCATAAACTTCATCATTTAAACGTATTATTGTTAGATGAACAGGAAGCTGTAACTGTGAAAAACTTGTGCAAGAGTTCAAAATAATGAACAACTCTGTTTACCTTTCCTCATTTGATAAGTCAATGGCTATGGTTTGTGGAAACGGAATAAAGGAACAAAGAACCATAGCCACTTGTTCATAATTTCTACCCTCACTGAAACAAACATGAAAGAAAGTGGCCTCTCTCTTAAAGCGCTCGTGCCAGTCCCAGTTTCCATTCTTGAGCTTCTTGCCAATCTGTTTAAAAAGAAGACCAGCTTCCTCACCCAGAATACGTGACATAAAGATGAACACTAGTCTGTACCTCCATGTCAAATCCCAGTAAAAGTCCAAATGCAACTCAGATGAATCAATCTTTTGTTTCAATAGCCTATTTATTAGATAAAATGCAGCCAGATACTCTTGAAATGTCTTGTGAAGGAAGAAATATCCATGCTGTGGGCTAATCTTCCTTAAGCTGACTTCCTTGAACACAAAACCAAGTGTGCGAGCTGCAAGACCCATGTGTAGATTCAAATTCTACCAACTCTTCTTCATGAAAATAAAATCGATCTTCTTTCAAGCATCTCCAAACTAACTCTCCAAGAACAAGCAAACTGTCCTCAAAGTGGCTCATTAGAGCTTTGTCACCAGCATCACCAGCAGCACCAGCAGCGACCTCAAGATTGTGCCTGGCACAATACCTCCGTAAAAGGTAAAAGGACAATTATCTTATAAAGGTCAGTGCGGCAAGATGGTAGATTTCCTTCATGATATTCAAACACAACACAGAGGAGAAGAAGATTTAATGGATTGCCTTGGAGTTCATGTAGATAGGAATTTTCCTGAATTGCCTGAATAAGTCGTTCTCCCTTTGGTTCCTGATCTTGACCAAATGTCTGAAGTACTTCCTGATGTAATTATAAGAATTTGACTCTGTAAACCCTTTGATTTGCAAAAGAACATCAAATTCCACATTCTGCCGCTTTACAATTCCTTCCTCTTGGCGAGAGGAAGCCAAGACATGGCAAAATGGTAAAATTCGCTTGTGAGGTAACTTGTCCACATAACTTTCCGCTGTTTTAGGAAGCTTATCCAGGCCATCCAAAATTATAGAATTTTTTCCTGGTTATGAATATCCTTGATATAATGTGCTACATTTTTCGTATCATTTTGGTTCATACCTTCAGGTAGGAGCTGATCAACAATAGCTTCTGTTACATCTCCGTGAATGTCTCTGCATTTTAGCACAGCACAAGTTCAAATAATGGGAAAGACACTTCATTTGGGACTATTCCGTTTGCCCAGTCGTGACAGATTTTGAGGCAAAAAGTTGTCTTTCCAATCCCAGGGCTTTCCTCAACAAGAATCATGGCATCCTCACCTTTATTGAGAGTTCTGAAGAAGTTAAACATGTCCACTTCACTACCTTCCAACACGAAGTCGGTTTTTCTCCTTGAAATGATTGACAGTCCTGTATAGACATCCTCAAGGGCAAGCTTGATTGTGTTCAGCGAAAAGAGCGGTTGCGGAAGAGACTGTCTGTTGTACTCAGCACTGAGTATTCTTCTCAACACAGCAAGTTCGTGGTCTACACAAAACTGACCAAAACAAAATTAGTTAACTTCTCTGACTCTTAAAGATTGCAGTAGTTATAAAAAATGGGTTCTGGCGCATTTCGCGTTCTCCTAAATTTTACCTTGATTTCAAGGCAACTCATGAATTTCACCTCAGAAATCAAGGTTGATATTAACTTTAATTTCAAAGAACATTTCTGGCGCATTTTGAAAACAACCTTGATTTCAAGGCAACTCATGAATTTTACCCCAAAAATCTAGGTTGATTTTAACCTTCAAAGAACAGTTCGGTGCATTTTGAAAACAATCTTGATTTCAAGACAACTCATGAATTTTACCTCAAAAATCAAGGTTGATTTTAACCTGCAAAGAACAGTTCTGGCGCATTTTGGAAACAACCTTGATTTCGAGGCAACTCATGAATTTTACCTTGATTTCAAGTCAACCTTGATTTAAAAAAAACAGTTCTGGCGCATTTTGAAAACAACCTTGATTTCAAGGCAACTCATGAATTTTACCTCAAAAATCAAGGTTGATTTTAACCTTCAAAGAACAGTTCTGGCGCATTTTGAAAACAACCTTGATTTCAAGGCAACTCATGAATTTTACCTCAAAAATCAAGGTTGATTTTAACCTTCAAAGAACAGTTCTGGCGAATTTTGAAAACAACCTTGATTTCACGGCAACTCATGAAATTTACCTTGATTTCAAGTCAACCTTGATTTAAAAAACAGTTCTAGCGCATTTTGAAAACAGCCTCGATTTCAAGGCAACTTGAATTTTGCGCAATGTCTCACTCGCGAGTTCTGAAGAGGGTGTAAATATTTTTCTCTTTAACGATGGGGGTGTTGATTCATTTATTTTCAAATCAACGAATTCCTTCAAGAGGTAGCTCAGCTCCAGGAGGAACAATCTGAAGCTCTTCTCAGACGAAACCACGCTTTGGTCCATCTTTCAGATAGTACATAATAGGCTCGCCTTTATACATGAATGATTTTTCGGTATTGTAGACCTATAGAGACCAGATTGGATCTGTGGCTCTTCTTTGACCACCTTGCAGCTCACCAGCGGCACAGAAATATCTTACATTCTTTGAAAAGTCGAGTCTCTTTTCCTTCCGGCCAACTGGTCGTTGAACTCTTGGCGTCAACCACCTCCTCTTTGATTGCATCCACAGGTTTCTTTCCAGTTAATCTTGTCGCTTCACTATTCAAAGCCAATATAACTTCTGGAAGCCTCTTTGCCCATTCGGTTGATCTCTTCACCTCTTTGAAGTTCATCTCTAAACTGTATTGGAAGGTGAAGAGGAGTTCACCCAAAGTTCGATTGAATCGCTTGACAATTCCTTGATCCCTGTGAACGTTCACATTCCCTCTTCTTATCCTCACATCATGCTTTGCCATTTCTCTTGTGATATCACCCATGAGTTCACGCCCAGGATCAACCTGAAGAACTTTTGGCCATTCCAGTCGTCCACGCTTATAGATTGTCTGAAAAGCCTTTGAGACCTCAGAGGAATCCTTTGAGGTGAGAGGTTCAGCAGCCTTGAATCTGCTTGCAACATCAACAACTGTCAATGCGTACTTGTAGAATTCCTTACCTCTCGGGAGTCTGTCATGAGGAAGGAAAAGAATATCAGCTTGATAAACTGCATTTGGAGATTCAGCATCAAATGTTGGTCTTGGGATATGCTTTGGGGCAGGCAAATAAATCTGCCAGATGGTTTGCTTTATCAGCCAAAGCTTTGCAACGTCCTCAGAAACTCCGGCTTCTTGAGCCAACTTCTTCACTGCTGGCAATCCCTTCCAAAGCCTTTAGGGCTGAAGTAGATTCTTGAAAGTTTTCTTTCCTTTTAATTCTGTGTCTACAAGAAACGAATGGCAGTCAATCCCGAAGCCAAAGCCGTTTCTCCGACGTAGATCATTTCACCTTGCTTTTGTTGAAAACTTGGCTTGTAGAAGTCGGAATGTTTTGGTTCCCTCAGATCAAGCTCTTGATTAGCCACATTGTTGTACAGCTTTAAAGCATAATCTGTGTCCACAAAATTCTGTTTTTCCTGCTCCTTGACTCTGTCATTAATTGTAATCCAATCGAGGAGCTTGTTGGATTTTCTTGATACTTTTCATAGGCCGCTGGGTATTTCTCCACAGCGATATCATGCCTCTTCTTCTCTTCTTCAGCACTATTCTGGTCTCCATTCAAATACTCTGCGAGATAGCTTCCAACAACAAAGGCAGTCGCATTGATAAGCGCTCCTCCAATCATTATTGCTATACTTGCCATTTTATTTATCTTCATCATTATTTTCGAAAATCGACGACAAGTACTCATAATGAAACTTTTAACGAAGTTCTGCCTCTTCGAGGCCTGAGTCCTTTGGATCTTCTTTTATATCACTGACATAGAATATTAAGAAAGTCTCAATGATTGCATAGACTGCTGCTAACTTAATTGCATTCATTGTGAATCGGCTGAAAATTTTCAAGATAACAAAATCTTTTGATTTTCAAGATACTGTTTTACCGCAATTGATGCGGCGATCACGACAGCGAACTTCACATAGTTCATTAGATTTGAACTCGGATCAGAAATCATCGGTTCCTTGATGACTTTCTTTGCAATCCATCCAATTCCAGCAGCCAATCCAGTCAAGGTAGCTGAATTGGTCAATGTTTTCACAAGCTTATTATCAGACATTTTATTTTGATAAACAAAAAAATCAATCCATTGGCTTTATTCGTACAGGAAGCTCCAAAGGGGCAGCCTCAAAGAGATAATCTGTGGTTGTTTATTTTGCGTCGCTTCAATTCGCTGTGCTGGTTTTGGTTTATTCACGAATGCCATCAACTATTTTCTTTTATAGTACAGACCAGCCAGTGAGAGAACGACACTTGCTACTGATAGAATTTGAGTGATTGAGAATGATGATGGTTCTGGTTGTAACCCTACACCTGTGGTGCCTGCCCCCTCGGGGCTTGCCCCTTTAAGGCCACGATATTTGGATTGCTTTGAACCTCCTTTCTTCTTCTTTCCTCTCTCACTCTTCTGCTGTCTTCAGAAAGCTTTTTGCCATCTGCGACACGTCCTGGGTCTTGATTTGGTTTCGTCTTATTTTCATCATTTGAAGTCACCTGTGAAGTGCTTTGCAGCCCGGTCGAAGGCTGAGCCTCTACAAGGCCTGGCCCTTCAGGGCTAGCCGGTGCTTCTTCAGTCTTAGGTTCTTTATTATCCATTTTATTTGTTGATATACAATTTTTAGTTTTTATTCAAGTAATAACACAAGTTCTTATTCAGAGTCACAGATAAGTTCATAATATTTAGTTTCTTCACAAGTACTTTCCTTTTCCTTATCATTGATCAAGGCGACTTCAACATTTTGGCAGTGAGAAGAGCAGCACTCGCGACTGCTATGTACCTTCCATACTTAAGACTCAATCCACCGGCAATCATTACGAGTTCTCTCTTTACCATGGAGTTATCATTCAAGTCTTTCAGAAGTTTTCCTTCATCAACGGGGAGAAAATGAGCCAATGCTTTACATAAGAGCTGAAGAAATGTATCAACCGTTGCATCGCAAGTCTTTTAAGAAAAGAAGCTTCATATTTTCAGATCCTGGGTGAGAGATACACCAATCATTTCCTTCGCTTGTTCACTTGCAACGAGAACAGCTAGTTGCTCTCGATGTTCGGAATCACTTGCTGGTTAAACCTCGAGAATGTTTAGAACATCATTAACAGCGTCTTTTTCCATATCCATTTTATTCAAGAAGTAGAAATATTTTTGTGGAAGTTCAAGATCAATGAAATAGAAGTCTTCAGTTGCAATCTCATAAGCAAGACTGTCAGTGTCTGTGAAGAGAAGCTTTACACGATCTCCGTACTTCTTCTTGATGTAGTTATAGTGGAAGTCATACATCAGAGTCTTGCTGCTATCGAGAATGCTCATTCCACAATAGACTGGCTTATCAAAAACCAGCTTAGTTCGCTTCATGTGGACTGCAATGAGGTTTTCATCAAATATCGTGAAATGCTTGAAGTCTGGTTTTGCTGCAAGTTTCAATGCTTTCTTTCTATCATTGACTAATCTCACATCCACATGATTCCTGATATTTTCCATGGTTTTTCCGAAGACAGAGTTGTTCATCAACTTGAAGAAATCCTTCTCGAACTCATTCTTTGCATTTGAACGTATGTCTCCCTCGAGACTTATACCCCTATGAATCTTCTTAATCCCCAAACCGAGTCGAGATATTGTTTGAGTGTCTTGTGATGAACGATATATCTCTCCTCATCATACAGATTTAGAATCAGTTTTTCTACCTTACTGATAGTAAGACTCTCAAGAGCAAGTGGATAGTCGTTGTGAAGATGGTATAGCTCTCTTGGATACTCAAGATCCACTTCAAGAATACAAGGAAGTTCTCGCCAGTTTTCAAAGTCAGCCATCCACTTGAAGCCTCTAACAAGAAGAGGCTGGCACATTACCCATCCATAAAGATTGGTTGCATCGAGATAGGTGATGCATTTCGTTGGCTTTGTTTCATCATAAGCTTCACTCATGTATTTGTTGTTTGCCCATCCAAAGTGATCTGATATCACTGAAACACCTCCCCGAATTCCTTTTCCAATCATCAACAACATGTGAACATCAGTGGGTAATTCAAGCTGTACATCAGTCTCCTTAAAGGCAGTCGCTCAAGCCAATCCAGAAGCAGTGAAATACCAAGCTGGGTCGAGCTTATAATTCTCAACGCAAACATTTCTAAACTCTTCAAACTCATCTGCAAGCAGGAGAACGTCTGTCTTGAGATAAAGGTCATGGTAATCTCCCATAGTATTCATTTTGAACTCTTTCCAGACCTTCTGTGCATACTCATAGTCTTCATGTGAAATATCGCTGTTGTTCAGCTTTGAATAGAACTCTTCTTCGGGAGGTAGTTCTGCTTCATTGAACTTTTCAATGCTGCTCATGTAGTCGTATGGATGCACACCTTTCCACGAGACCCACTCGATTTTGTTCATGAAGACCCTCTAAGTTTCCTTCAGCTTAGTCTCTTTGAGACCCAGTCCTCGGCTTTCATGACTCAAATTACTTACCAATTTCCCAAGGAAAGAAGCCATGAACTTGAAGCTGTCAATAAAGCGAAGCTCATTCCTGACTTTAACTTCTCTAGGCCCTTCCTTGTTGATGTAAGAGCCAACAACGACATCTTTGCTGAAGCTAATGTACTTTTCTTCATTATTTGGAATACATTTGATGCTTCCCTCGCTTTTACTAAGAAAGATTCTTAACGAATAGATGAGAGTCATAGTTTGCTAAATTGTGGAATATCACAGGTGTGAACTTTGGCTTCTTAAATTGTCGGTTGCATTTGTAGTGAGCTGCTCCACAATACTTCCCTGTGAAATTGCAGTGGTCCCTCACTTTGTCTTTGCCAATGTCAAATGAACGCTTGCAAATCCGGCGGTGTGTTGCTTCTTTGAACTCACGCCTATCTTCATTTGTGAAGATCATCTTCTTGGAAAAATCGAATTCCTTATGAATATTCTTGATGTTCTCCTCGAGCATTTCGACAAAGATCTAAGCAACATCTGCATCTTCACTCTTTGCTCTGTAGATGACTGGCTCTTGAGAACAAAGCCTATCATCGAAGCTAACGATTTGATAGCAGAACCCACATGGCTCGTGCCTCTGATATTTATTTCTGAAACTATCATCACTGATTGGCTTACAACCACTTATTGGTTTAGTACAAGCCTCAAAGTCAGCATAAACCACAAAGGGTACTCACATTGAGCGGTTACGATTCTTGAATTTAAGCATTCTACCCTCATCTGGCATCTCGATCCTGACTGCATCATTTCTTGAGCAATACTCTTCATGGAGTGCAAACTTTTCTTTACTTGAGAAGTGGCTCAGACACCTGAGGCAAAACTCTTTTCGTTTCTTATCCTTTGAGGCTTGATTAGATAGTAGCCTTCTCATGTTGTTTATCAGGCAGTAGTGCTTCTTTTGGCCGGACCGCGTGGTGTCTAACAGAAGAAGGTTTATGACGTGCTTCCTATTTTCCTCTTTGCTGATCCTCAATGGATAAATTGAGGCCTTGCTGTAAGCTAGCACGTTTACTGCAATGTTTTCACTCTGCTTTTCAAACTTGCTTATCAGTCAGCTTCATAGGGAAGCTGATGCCACTCCAGTCGAGCTTCTCAAATTGTGTTCTGAGAATCATTGTTATTCTTTAAGGGTCTTTCTCAACCGTTTTATGCACTCTTGTAAGGCACCACTTGAAACACTGATTATCCGCTTTTTTAATGTTCAAGACTGCTTTCTTACTTTTGATGAATTGTGGGAGTTCGATGCAAGAGCTGCCATTCAACGGTCTGTATTCCACCAGATGGATGTCAAGAGATGTCACTCTTCAGTTGCTTCCTCTTTGATTAAAATCCTGAATTCTTTCTTGAATGGTATCCATTGAAGTGCCAAATTCTTCAGATTCGTCAGTTGCTTCAAGATTTAAGATTACTTAGCTCTGGAAATGAGGATTCAGAGGTTCAGTCTCTCCACTCCCCGGCTGAAGGCCTACATTCTCATCGAATAGTTCTTTTCTAACCATCTAACAATTCAAAATAATCATGACTCGTGTCCTTCGATTCTCTCTCTCATTAACTTCAAGACTTCAGGTTTTGCTCTTTGCATAAATTCTCTAGGTTCGAAACTTGCAATACCCTCAATTCTAAAGTACCTTGCGAAACCTCTCAATGCGCTGGCTTTTTGACTAGTTCTGAGTTGAGTGCTTTTTCTATTACTATCTTTGATTTCACTGATTTTTCTTACTCGTTCTACTTCTTCTGGACTGGATACTTTAATTTTTGGTTTACTTTTCGATTTGCTTCCGGTCTGTTTCTCAATCCCAGTATCTCCTCGATTTCCCTGATTTCGCTTCTTGTCTATTCATTTACTTCAACTTGAGGCCTGACAGGGAAGCTTTTCGAGCTGGGGCTGTTACGCAGCACATATCTTTTTGGTGTTAGGAGTGTAGCATCAATTTCTAGAACTGGGTGGTCAAAAATTTGGCTACCGGAGCTGATAAACTCCATCAAATCCTGCTTTCTCAATCATGAATATTTTTTTAATACGAGCCGTTTTGCCTCAGGTCTTATTTCTGGAACTTTTTTGTTTTCCATTTTTTTAAACTACATAAAAACAGATATTTTTTAAAGCTTCTTACATATTATCAAAATGGAAACAAATTTAATTCCAATAGGCGCAAAAGAAATCAGGGAAGTTGCTAAAGGCTGCGGAATAAAATACAGAAACAAGATCCCAAGCAGAGAATTAAAAGCGATGCTCAGCTATCGTCCCTTGCACAAGAGACGGAAGGTCGAAGTGAGCGATGAAACGGGGTTATGCAAAACATATGACACAATAATGGAGGTGGTAGAAGATTGTGGAACATCAAATTCTTCCACTATTAAATAAGTCATTGATTATGAGAGGCCTTTCATCAGGAGAAGATCGGATAAAAAAATTCTGGGTGAGAGAAATTAAAAAATAAAGGACAAAAAATTTTTAACGAAGAAAGGTGTCGTGAAATCTTTGAGAATATTTTCGATAAGAAATTTCCTAATGTTAGACCCTCATGGCTTATGAATCATCGGACAGGATTTTTGTTTGAATGAGATGGATTTTGTGATACACTGAAATTAGCGTTTGAAGACGACGGGATTCAACACCATGAATATCCCAACCCATTTTATCAAACATACAAGGAATTTGAAGGTCAGAGGAGGAGAAATGAGATGAAGAATTACAAGTGTGAAATATATGGAGTGACTCTCATAAGAATAAAATATGACGTTCAGAATCTTAAAGAACATAAGGTATGAACTTAGAAAGAAAAATTTCATTTGAGCCTTTTTTTAACCTATTTGAAAAACGTTTTTGCCCAGGTGTGTGATGATGGCCTATCTCATTAATAGGTCACGCTTGCAAGCTCTCTGTTGATAATATTGAGCTGAGCATCCGAGAGGATGAAGATGTGACATTTCACATTCCCTGAGCCCGATGCCTTTCTGTTAATTGCGAGTTGAGCTCCTTCTTTCGTATTCACCAATTTTAATCCGCTTCCATGAAGATCTTTGTCTTTCATACTCCTGAGATCGATGAAAAGAGCGAATCTGTCTCCGGCATAAAAGTCTGTCGTATTCATCGCGCTGTCTTCCTTTCCAAATCTTTTAAAGATCTCTTTCCAAATATCTCTTGTCTCCATTCCTTAGCTGTAAACCTTATTTGGGATTCCATCGACAATCATCTTCACTTCAGTGATGTCGGGATTGAATGTCTTCTCACTGTCTCTCGCACCAGCGGCATATGGCTCGTAAAAAAGAAGAAGTCCCTCCATTGACCTCCTCGGAACATTGATGCTCTCATTGATGATCGTATCTGATCCCCTATCTACTGAGATTGTCTTGAGATGAGATGTGTTTGTACATGAATCTCTTCCCATTTGTGTATCAGCGAGCTCTTGACTGTGAATGACTTCATACTCAAGCTGGACGTTAGTCAATTCATAGGCGAGCTGTGTCTCGTCAGATCCTATCACAACATTGAGCTCGAAAAGAAGGTCATCAGAAAGAGCTCTTGGGAGGAAGACTCCATGATCCTTCAGAATCTCATGATCCAATGGAATCCTATATTTGTTCTGATAAATATCGTTGAGTTTATTCTCCTTGCCAACTCCTGAATTCTTCTTATCTTCAGTATTGCATCTAATCTTCGAAACTCAACAGACTGAATGCCTTCTCTGAACATGCTTGCCCTCTCATAGTCAGTCAGGAGGAGGTGCTTACAGAGCTTGAATAGATCATAACCATCGGTGTCCTGCATGACTTCTCCTGCGAATTTCACTTTCAACCTGTTAACAAGATCTCTCGAGACAGTGTTCGCGAGATAATTGCTTCCGTGGCCACTAACTTTTAAGTCAAAGATGAGTGAAAGAGATCCAGACACAAGGACAACTCTATCATCAAACTTTGGAACTGGGACTCTAAGTGTCACAAGTAGAGATGCCTTGTTCGGATTGAATGTTACCCTCTGGATTGCGCGGTCTGCCTTGAGGGCGTTTGACGTCTTTTTTTCAAAGTTTGGGTGGGTTTTTCACTGACTTCAATTTTAAAATAATAGATATTTTATTTAAAATGACTGATTTTAGAGTTACTGATCATCTTTTGGACAATGATGATGATGATGAATATGAAGGAAATACAACAACACCTTTTCAACCAGATTATAATTCAACTCCAGGGCCATCAGGTGAAGACATTCCAATGACGACAATGAACAGGGGCCAAGAGAAGGGGTCAGAAATTGCTGAAATATCTTTCATTGAAGGTGATACTTCTTATTCACGTGTCATCACTTAAAATGAGAAGGCGTGGGACTCCCTTACCAGAATTTATCCTGGGGCCAAAGGCTTCGGAACTTCGGAGCGACAGCCATGACGTCGGTCCGATGCGCTAGAACCGTTGTTTGAAGGTTAAAATCAACCTTGATTTTTGAGGCAAAATTCATGAGTTGCCTTGAAAACAAGGTTGTTTTCAAAATTCGCCAGAAATGTTCTTTGAAATCAAGGTTAAAATCAACCTTGATTTCTGAGGTAAAATTCATGAGTTGCCTTGAAATCAAGGTTGTTTTCAAAATGCGCCAGAAATGTTCTTTGAAATCAAGGTTAACATCAACCTTGATTTCTAAGGTGGAAAATTCATGAGTTGCCTTGAAATCAAGGTAAAAGTTATGAGGACACGAAATGCGCCAGAACTCGCTTTTTATAACTACTATTACTATGAGTAAACTCATAATAGCCAGGAAGAACTCTTTGACTACATGCATATGGCATGTGATGACACCTGTTTTAGTGAAAATAACCAATTTTTACATGATAAATTAACAAAAATGAGCAAATTTTCCTTCTCAGTCTGAGGAGGTGGAGATGTCTATGTGATTTAAGGTAGATCTAAACCAAAAAAACAGACTTTAATAACTTTTCAGAAGTGTGAACATGGATATATATAGAATTTGATAACTAGAAATGAGATAAGAATGTTGGTGAACCTCACAACACCACAGATATTTATTGGATGTATGTTATTGTGCTTCAAGGGAAACGTCAATTAGGAATTAGAAAATTAGAATACAAAGAGTAAGGTTAATTACTAGTTTGTGGTTTTGAGGTTTGGAATGTATTCTCAATTGTATTGTAATTCATGAGTAAAAAATTTACCTGTTGGAATATAACCAAAGTGTTCCCAAGTTTCACAACCAACAATAGTTTGCAGTTTTTCCAAAGACTTTTTTAAGGGAAAGAAAAGTTGTCGTAATATCAATCTATCAAAGAACTGGTTCTTAAAAGTAACAAATAGACCATTTTTAGCTACGTAAGATACTATAAAAATTAAGAATCA